GTTTGTTGCTGGCTTTTCTTTCTTGTTACGCCTGGCTCGTAACAGAGTTTATAATTAACGCGGGTTTGCAAGGTTAATAAACTTTCAATTCTGATTATGACTAGCAGGCCGTTGTCGGGGAATTGTTAATAAGAGACATTATTTACATGCAATTTTAAAAAGATAAAAGAGTAAAAGTTCTACAGGACTTTAATTTACAAGACATAGTGTGCAAATTAGAATTTGTAGAATGGGCCAAGCCTCTCAGTAAAGATGATTAAACTGGGGCTAGACTGAACACTTAGAGGAAGGCTACTCCTCGGAAAGAATGAATTTTGATGGTATTGTTTCCTCGAGTAAGGAATTAAGTTGTTCAGATTTCTTGTCTGAGTAAAGTACGTGTTGGTTGTCAACAAAGACAATGTTGTTTTGGATTTGTTACAAGTAGGTTACAGCACTGATGTTTCGACACTGCTGAAGGGTATAGTTATAATCATTAGAAATATATCTAGCAGCTGATCTTTGGACTCGGTCTTCCTTATGAATTAAGTATATCTGTCAAGGATGCCAAACTATAGAGCAGTATTCGACCTGAGGCTTATATGCAGTTTCCTATATCTTTTTATTTGGGCTTTTAACATTTCTTCTCATGAATCTAAAGAAATGATATATATACACGTACATGTATTTGCTTTTGATGTTATATTGTTTATATGTCTGGTCTTGACTAATGGTGACTCATAAGTATTTTGCTACTTGGGTTGATTAAATTTAAGTTGAATATAATGGAGGGTATAAGAAAACTTTACGGAGTTTCTTTTTCTTGTTATTCTGAGTATTTCACATTTATCAGGGTTAAACTCCATGGACCATTGAAGGGTTTGGGCATCTTGTTTTGATCGGATGGTTAGGTAGACAACAGTATCATCTGCGAACAGCCTTACCTTACCTTTAACACTATCAGGAAGATCATTAGTAAAAGAACACAAAACATGCAGGGACCTAATACCGAGCCATGTGGACACATGAAAGGACTGGTAAAATTCCTGATTCTTGACCTTCAACTACAACTTGCTGGGAGCGAGACTTAAAGAAAGAATGGACCAAAACCAAAAATACCAAATATATACATTTTGTATTTTTGTAGCAACCACACGAAAAAATAAATGTCGAAAAATGTCGCTTATAGTAGCCGCATCATGCTAAGATTTAGCTTCGCCGCCTGGTTTATATCATAACAAGAGCTGTCCGCAAGATAGCGCGCTCGACTGTTTTCAGTGCTTGGCAGTAAATAAGAGCATTACTCAATAAACTCAGTTATGGTATATGTGTCCATCATGTTAGATAATCTCAGGGAACAAATGTGTGAAGTTTCAACCCATTCGATCCCTCCAGTAGTTTTGAATATACCAACTTGCAAGCAAAAACTTAACCAGTGTGACGCCGAACCACCTTCGACGCCAGGGCGAGTACATGCACCCCCTTTTCTTCGATTAGTCGACGAAAGAATAAACAATACTGCTTAATATATTATATAATGGCATCTTTCTATATACTCTTCTATATGAAAGAGAATATGCTTAAATAGACAATCTATCAAATCCTTTTGAATTATTTCCATTTAAGTACACTAATTTTCTTACCAAAATAGTTTGTTGATCAGACAGCAATAGCTAGGGATATTATACATATAAGTGTTTTTCAGTAAAAACTTATCAACATTATATAGACACTTCGTTGAAAACAAGATCACAAAGAGTGTACGTCATATATAACAAATTGTGCATATTCTTTTTTCCGACAGCTACCAAAAAGAAAACTTCTTTTGGTAAATTTGAGCTGTTCTAGAAATATGTAGTCTCAACTGATAAAGTTTCAAGTTATGATATACGTGATTTAAATGATCGTACTCAGGTCAAACTTTTCACCTTGTTTCCTGTAAGCAATGCATACTTTTTTTTATACGCTCCCTTTGCAGCTCACTGAATACATGCACTCACGCTACTTCAGACAGTGAGCGATAGTGAAACATTCGACCGATGCGCAGGATATTATTTTTTTTATTACCCGTCTACAATACGAAACTGGTGAAGCATTGTCTTAAAAAGACAAATGAATGTAATATGTAATCTTTAAATATTTGCATTGATCTTCATTTGAATTGAAATACTTTCCCGATCGATATAAAAATTTTGTTCATGTTGAATCTATTGTTTTTATATGCATACTACAACAAGTCTAAAAAAAGCTTGCCAAATCTTTATTGGACCCGATACTATGCACATGTCAGCTATACCTTATTCGCCAATCTTCAAAAATAAATATTTGAACAATTGTAAGTCAGATGTCATGACTCCACAAGAAAAAAACATTTATGGACATGATAAATGACAAAATGATCGAATGTTTGTGTTTAAATGTTATAATAATTGCCAATTCTAAAGAGGTAACACATATAATATTGTTTTGCAGACATCAGTGTCCTACGAGTACAAGTTATTTAGACCAGTTCTCACTCAAATAATTCACTTATTTTACTGCTTAATTACAAAGTTCAACTTTGATTCAAAATAATATGGTATGCTAATAACACATGTAAAGTCCACATTTTGCTTGTTTTCTTCTTTACTTATATCATTCAACTGTCGTCCTAGAAATATTGATATATTAATTATTTCTAAATTGTTACTTCTGTTGAGTGTACCATAATCAATAACGCAGGATTAAAAAACCCACAATATATAGAACTTCGAGAAGAAAAAATATCACGAGACATGTTCTTTGAGAGATGCTCCTATTTGAAAGGAACGATTGGATGAAAATGTTCATGGCGCAATTTTTTGATAAATGTCGCATATATCAAACAAATTGGTCTTGATTCTTTATTGACGACAAAATACAACAAATTATCAGCCACAAAAGATAATATCATACGAAGTTGAACCAACAGAGTTACCGACACACGTGAAAGTGCTTGCTTGGTCGTCGTATGCATAGCTATATGCTTCTGGACACGCATCTTTGAACGTTTGAGAATAACTGAAAGGGGGACATTTTTGCGGTGTGTTATAAGAGTCCCTGCAGCAGTACTTATCCAAGTTGAATGCCAGACAAGCACTCATACAAGCCACGACTCCTCCTGTGCCATAAACGGCAAGCTCATTTGGACAATTCTTGTTTAGATCAGTATTGCAACCTGCTCTTGAACAATAGTAATGGCCGCTTCCGGACCTGTATCCATCCCGAGGACTCATAGACATTTGTAGGTTGTATCCATCAACTAAGCTGACGTCATAGTAGTCCCTGAGACCGCCGGCGTCGAATGTAATCTCAGCAAGTGTTGCAGGAGGGGCGCCACCTGCTCCGTTGCATTGAATTTTTCCACCACCACAGTCACCTGTTTCGCACTTGTTACCATAACAACCGGTTCTTCCCCATACCCGTCCAGACCAATGGTTAGGGACATTAGTAGTTCTAGAGGATCCAGCACTTAACATATATCCACCTTCGGTAGAGAAAATTTCTATTACATTTTATGTAAAAACGGTATTCAGTATTGCGCATGTAAGAATATCGTTCTTTTTTTTCTTTGATTAATAAAACTTTGAAAAAATGATACATATACTTTTAAAACGTTGCCTAAAAGATTAAAGTCCCAAAACAGACTGGAGTTACCTTACCCACAATAACATTTACATCATGTCAGGATGCAGATCTAAATCAATATTTTGAAATTAATTTATATATGTATGCTTATGTGTTAGACATTTAATGACATAGCATGGATTTTTCGTAGGAAAATTTTATTAGCTCAATTTAAATGTGCCAGAACATTGCCTTTAAAATATCTTTAAATAGAAAATTATCTTCATCCAGCTATTTTGTAATTCAAATGGATATTTCTAAAATATATTCGAAAGGAAATTTGTTTTCTTGCAATTTTCTAAATAAATTCGCAAAAAAATTGTTTTCATGAAATTAGCAATTTTAACAAGATATATCAATCATTTTTTCCACTAGCTATATCAGTATCAATCATGAATGTTAAAAAGTAAGGATGATATTTTTCTCGTATACATAATTATATTGAAATGACGACTCAACTATAACTTACAAAACCGATGCTTGCTACGAGAACCGTGTTTTCTGTACCTTATCAAAGAAAGCATAAATGAAAGGAATTATATACAATGATAACTACCTCCATCAGGAATTGAATTTCCGAGAATTCCGACCCATACCGTATGTGAACAACGGTTAGCAATGTGGAGCTGATGACATGTGCATGCCCCGAGAAGACAAACCAGAAATATTTCTCGAATCATCATTCTGTAAACTTAGGGAAACATGCATACTATTATCAATGTTTCAATAAATATTTGTTTTGTACCATTCATTTAATTTCAAGTTAATGATAGTTGGATATTGCCAACACGTGTTCAATAAGGGACAGCTTACTTATGCCATATAACTACCGGGTCCGACTCTTGATTCATAACTTTTTTTCACCAACATTAAAACGATTTGACTTAACTGTCGGAACAGTGATTAATTAAAATAACTGAACTCAAATCAAAAATTGCAATGGGATGCAATATACGCTAATTTTTTCATCAAAAGTGTGTTTATCTCTTGTATATATGTAAGAAATAATGAGAAATACCTGGCATTCAAGTTTTCCGTTGGCTATTTTCAGAAGCATATTGTCATTGTAACTTGCTATTATAGCAGTTTTCGATTACACGATTATTTTTCACATATATTTATGAGTATTTGGGGTAAACTTTATAACAATTTGATTGTCAGGTATGAAACAAAAGCATTTTAATAATAATTTTGTATATTAAAAGCCTTCAAATTTAAAAATTGGGTATAATGGCTAGTTCCAAACCAAAGGCTAATGTTTAGGCATTTCCTTGAAGTTTTAGAATAGCAAGCTTTATCCGAATCACCCAAAATAGTTTTTCATCTTTTCTTTTCATAAAGTTAATTATTAAATCCATTAACTCATACACACATACCTGACTTTAAATGATTTTGCCTCGAGACTTCTTTGGTTTATATATGTGTATATAACGAACTTTCAACAAAGGTTAAGTCAAGATAAGCCGAGATGCAGCTGTCCAGTGCTCACAGTGAAGTCTTTATCCATCGGCTGAACAATACATATTCGACTGAATAATTTTATTTTATTATACATGATATCGTACAATTAGCATTCACTATTGCCAGTCTCATAGATTATTCCATAATTTGTCTTTATTACACATACTAGTATAATATATGTATATGGTCTCTGATTACTTTGTACAGTGTCTGCTGGCAAATGTGTGCCCATTTAGTACAGTGATTACTTGATAATTAGAGTCTTCATTGTACAGTGTTTGGTGGCAAATGAATGACAATTTTGTACAGTGATTTTTAGAAAATTAGTGTCTATTTTGTACAACGATTGGTACAGTGATTGCTAGCAAATAACTGTCCATTTTAAACAGTGATTAATTGAAAATAAGTGTCTATTTTGTAAATTGATTACTTGAAAATTAGTGTCTATTTCGTTGAAAATTTATGTCTATTTTGTACAGTGATAACTAGAAAATTAAATAAGTGCCATTTTGTATGGTGATTGTCAGATCATTTTGTTCTAACCTCAAAATCATCAGGAAACATAGATATTTTGATAACGCAATGACGAAGTAAAATACATTTCTACATATCACTAGTAACTTCTAAATTTACGAACTATTTTTACACCTAATTAGCAACATTGTTTAAAGGATCTTGAAGTTAATCATATAACACCAAAAACAGTATACATAATCTTATTTTCAATCATTTGTAATAATCCTGTTTTGCAAGGTTTAACGTTGTCACCGAAACCTTGACCTTTAACCTCTTGAGCGCTATGTATCATGAAGTTATTCATTTACCACTTATCTGAACCATCGTCTGCTTCTATTGCTTTTTGGCAATTGCGGTATACCGTACCCCGGATATTGCTCGATATTATGAGGACTTTCATCCCATTTCGCGACTTTGAACGAGGAACGAAGGTATGTTTAGTGACGATATTTAGTCATTTTGAATTGGTTAGATATAAATTTTGTAGAAATACAAATACTTCGATAATTTCTCTAGTTAATGAAACCCCAAAAATGTTGAGAAATAGCTTTGAAATGTAATTAGGAGGTAAAAAACGTCTCTTTGCTCACGTAATAAATGAGCTCGGATCAGTCAAATTTGATGTTTTTGTGCATATACATCCTTAAAAGAAAAACTTGAATCGAGTGAAATGTGATAATGATGATAATGTTTATGTTGTAAATGTTCAATCAACAATAGAACTCAGATGACAGTGCATTTTGAGAATAAATACACATGTCAGTGTACCGAGTACTGCTTTGGAGTTGCCCGCCGGTGTCACGAGTATTGCTTTTTAGTGTAACGAGTATTGGTTATCAATAAAGAGTAAATGCAAGTAGTAAAGACAAAGTATTTACCACATTTAATTTTAAATATTTCTTTCTGTGTTTACTTATATACACTATATGAGCAGAAAATGCAGAATATGGAGGTACTTTACTGGAAACATCTGCGAATAATCCAGATTTTCATTCCTGCTCGTGAAAAAATCTCAGTTTTTTCTGTGTTTACAATGTTCTCGTTGCTATCGAAGGATAAACCTTTCCAGAATTTGTTAATAATTATTGCATATCTTACTTTAAATAGTAAAAAAAAAATGCATCCAAAGTGCATTAATACTGCCTCAAGATTGTCAATATTAGACGGTATTGAGAAAGTGTGCCAATATCTAATATCAAACCGACTTCCTACTATGCTAAAAAATCCATATAAAGGTAAACTTTCGGGCATTTTGCACCTGCGCTCTAGCAACGGCAAGACCGTCTGAACGTGAAATTTTGTTACGCCTTAGCAATGAGTTACCGTATAACTGCCGAGCGGGGGTACAGCTCAAAAAAACGAATAATAGATTTTGATAAGATTATGATAAAGGGCAGAAGATGCAATAAAAAGATTATGTTCCTTATATAACCTTTTACATGTACCTCATAAAGGCGTGTTTTGAAGCTTTACACCCCACCCCTTTTGAGGCCTTAAATAGTGTAAAACATGCGCCATTTAGGCCCCAAACACTGTTTTTTCGATTTTGAGAAATGTGTTCAAAAGAGTACGTGATCACTTTTTTCGGCGCCACCCCCCACCAAAAAGGTACATCAAGGGGGTTACACAGGGGGGGGGGGGGGGCGGGCGGGGGTGCCCCCTTCTGTTTGGGGGTTTGAAGTGGAGCAGTAGCCCCTCTAATCGTCGAGAAGACTTGGACTTGTGTGGGTTAAATGGCCTCAGGCCGATTTAGAGGTACCGTGTAATCAACGCCGAAAACCTTAGACTTTATCTCAATCAATTGAGAAGTTGGTGCACCTTGAAATCAGTTTTGATTGGGATTAAACAACGCAAAAAGAGATTTTTGGCAATTTTTAGAACGCCCCCCCCCTGTTGCCATGGTAACTGAAAATTTAAAATTTTGAGAATGCTATTCCACAGGCTTATGGTCTAGCTTTAACATTTTGTGCCCAGTTTGGATCAGTTATATTGAAGCATTTTTTTATAGTTTCATAGCAGTTTGAAACTTGTAACAAGAGGCTTAATTATAATTCAATGAAAAACAGCCATTTTTTCGCATTATGCTCATGTAGTAAAAGGTTAGGAAAGATACCGGCATGCTTGGACGGCATAAGCCCTTCGGGCCCCCAATATTCTAATGAAGTGCGTCGATATGTTCCTTAGGCAAACTTGCATGTAAAAAATCTATTATTAATGTCATCTAAATATGTTTTTTTATTCTTTCCTTTTCAGAGATGGTCTTTTGATCAAAGTTTCTTGAGACATGTATTTTAAAGTTTTTTATCGTCAATTTTGATGGTTCTTCCCTGCTTCCGACCCTGCACAAACTTTATTTTCATCCATAGTGTGATTTCAATCAAATGGGAAATTGAATCTTCTGTATTTGCCAGTTAGGAAAAGAATAGTAATAACAATGAAAATGCATTGTTGAATCTGAAATATTTGAATAAATTCATTATAAAACATTACATTATCAGAAAAATGAAAAATTGAATCGATAAAACAGACGTGAAAAATTAGACAAAAATATCGATTTTCCATTCTAATGTGCTCATATTGTTTTGCAATATTCTGTACACTAAAGTTGGGCTAATTTTGCAATACTCTGTACACTAAAAATCAATACTCGGTACACTTTCTTGTATCTTTTTTTGCCTGTTATCTTTTTGTACTTTTCACACTTTTTGCCTGAAAAATTTGGACAAGGCATACATGGATGAGAATAAAAAAAATGCTCGATTCAATTTTTTTTTATATTGGTAATATAATGATTTCTAACGATTCTACAGTACAGTTACAGTATCGCGGTCAGTATTTTCTAGTGAGCAGCGGATCGTTTAGGGTAGTTTTAATCAAATTTTACAAATACCTGTAATTCCTGTTACGTCTTTTAGAGCTACAGAAAATACCTCTAGATATATAAAACCTGTTCAGATAAATGAAATAGCCATTAGTTTGGAAAATATCGTCGCTGAACTTACATTTGTTCCCCGTTCAAAGTCGCGAAATGGGATGAAAGTCCTCATAATATCGAGCAATATCCGGGATACGGTATACCGCAGTGATATTTAGTGATTTAGTATTCTGTATGGAAGTCAATATACTACTTCGTTTACGTAAGACTACTTTTATGACAAATATTTTTACATTTATTGCAATAAACATATATCATGCTCTAAAACCATTATTTAAATGTTACACGTTTGCACTTTCTTAAGAAGGAAAAATCTATTCGTTTGTGAGGTACAATGTGTCTTTAAAGGGTTAATAATTGATAATCTTAGTCAATTTGAAAATATAGTATACCGTAGTACATTACCGTAATCAATTGTGTACGTACGGAATGCCGTTAGGGCCATCGCCTATCGCGATAGTACGATGATGAAAACGCGACAGTACGATACTACGATGATGAAAACGCGATAAACTATCGTGCTTTCACCATCGTACTGTCGCGTTTTCACCATCGTAGTTTCGTGATTTCGCGTTTTCATCATCGTACTGTCGAGTATCGCGTTTCAGCTCAAACCATTCATAGGCGATGGCCCTAACGGCATTCCGGAATGCCGTTAGGGCCATCGCCTATGAATTTGTTAATCTGAAACGCGATAGTCGATAGTACGATGGTCAAAACTACGGAATGCCGTTAGGGCCATCGCCTATGAATGTGTTGATCTTAAACGCGATAGTCGATAGTACGATGGTGAAAACGGCGAAAATCACGAAACTACGATGGTGAAAAACGCGAAAGCACGATGATGAAAAACGCGAATAGTACGATGATGAAAACGCGACAGTACGATACTACGATGATGAAAACGCGATAAACTATTCTCGTGTTTTCACCATCGTACTGTCGCGTTTTCACCATCGTAGTTTTCGTGATTTTCGCGGTTTTCATCAATCGCACTGTCGAGTATCGCGGTTTTCAGATCAAAACCATTCATAGGCGATGGCCCCTAACGGCATTCCGGAATGCCGTAGGGCCATCGAAAAATGAAATGTGTTAATCTAAACCGCGATAGTCGATTGTACGATTTGGTGTAAAAACACGAAATAAGAAAACTACGATGATGAAAACACGTAAATCTATTCGTTTGTGAGGATACAATGTGTCTTTTAAAAGGGTTAAATAATTGATAATCTTAGTATCAATTTGAAAATAAAGTATACCGTAGTACATTACGCGTAAAATCAATTGTGATGTACTACGGAATGCCGTTAGGGCCATCGCCTATGAATGTGTTGATCTGAAAACGCGGATAGTCGATAGTACGATGGTGAAAACGCGAAATCACGAACTACGATTGAAAACGCGAAAGCACGATGATGAAAACGCGATAGTACGATGATGAAAAACGCGACAGTACGATACTTGATGATGAAAACTGCGGTAAACTATTCGTGCTTTCACCATCGTACTGTCGCGTTCACCTCGTAGTTTCGTGATTTCGCGTTTTCATCATCGTTCTGTCGAGTATCGCGTTTCAGCTCAAACCATTCATAG